AAAAAGAAGAAAGGGAAAACAAAAAAAAAAGACCTACAAAAGATTGTCTTGGCAGTTTGGGGTCTTTTATGGTTCCAAATAAATTTTGAAGTTGTTTGTTCTAGTTCTGTGAAAAATGTCCTGAGTGTTTTGACAGGGGTTGGATCTGTGGATTGCTTTGGGTAGTATGGCCATTTTGATAATGCTGATTCTTCCAATCAAGAAGCACAGGGTATCTTTCCATTTCTTTGTGTCATCTTCAATTTCCTTCATCAATGTTTTACAGTTTTCAGAGTGTAGGTAACCTCCTTGGTTAAGTTTATTTCTCGGTATTTTGTTGACTTTGATGCAATGGAAATATTTATGCCAGTTATAAAAATCTGGCCTTTGAAGTGAAAAAAAAAAGTGAATGAAGGCAAATGGCAAAATATCCTTCTTTCTTATGGGTGAATTGTATTCCATTACATATATATGCTGCATCTTCTTTACCCATTCATCTATTGATGTGCACTTAGGATGCTTCCATATCTTGGCAATTATAAACAATAATGTTGCTGTTAATAGCAGGGTGTGTGTATCATTTTAAATTAATTCTTAGTTTGTGGTTGGCTTCATTCCTTTAATAACTATGTAAGTTTAAAAAGCTAAAGCTCTAAATGTTCTTAGAAACAATGAACAGTACATATATGTAAATTTTTTAAAATATGTGCAGTAAAAAAAAAAGATGCAGCTTCTGAGTTGAACTGGGAAGCAGTGGGCCGGGAGAAGATGGGACCGGCCAGCAGAAGGGACGCATCTGTGGCAAGGACGACATCTGTGAGGGGATAAAGGGAAAGGCTGTGGGAAGCTTTTAAAGATTTGAAAGAGCAGTGTGGCCATGACCAGAGTCTGAGAGAAGGAGGAGAAAACGTTAAGACTGGAGTAGTAAACTGAGGAGGAAGTTTGTGGTGGTCCAGGTTAAATCGTCCTGAAGCCATGGGGAGGCCATCTTTAAGCCATATGCCTTGAAATATTGGTCATTTGGGAAAAGGCCTGTTTCTCAGTCATTGCACACTTTGTGCTGTTGGAATGGGTAGTAGGGCTGCACCTGGTTCTAGAGATGACGGGCCCCTTGGCTCAGCAGTGCGCAGGTGAACAGGGACTCAAGAGTCCGAGACCTCTTCATTCCCCTCTCATCCAAAAGGAGGAAACAGCGAGGCAGAGGGCTTGGGAGTGTGGAGAGTGGAGCAGCCAGAGGAAGCTTCTAGGGTCAGGGAGGGAGGCCATGTCCCTGCTTGTAGCATTCCTGCTGGACCCCCAGGCCCTTACTCTCCCTTGGCAGAGTGGAGAGGTGGAGCCCCGCAGCCTCCTGTCTTCTTCCCTCCCGTGTTTGTCTTGGCTGAGAGCTGCTTGAGGATTTTTGAAGGCTCTTAGGTCAAGGCAGAGCTGGAGGAGTCAGGACATTGGATCACAGAGGAGGGAGCAGGAAGGGGCCTCAGGTCGGGCAGTGGGGGTGCTCAGCCTCAGCACCAAGGCACCTCCCAGTGGGTGAGGGGCTGCCATGGGGCTGAAATCCCTGAGCCCTTCCATACCCACCCACTTCAGGAAGGCACTTGAGGGCTCCCAGGTGCCCAGGATTGAGCTGTACCAGATGTGTCCCCTGCTCTTGCTGCACGGCACACCTGTGCTTCTGGACACTGGGTCTCACAGCAGGCCCCTTAGGGCCCAGGCAGGGGTGTCAAGGAGGCCTGGCTGGCCCAGAGCACCAGACAGGCCCTGCCACGGCCAATCCCGTAATTCTCAGATCTTGATTCAGTGCTGCCTCCCCTGAGGCCCAGCGTGGACCCTCTCACGTCCTGCTCTGCACAGATGCTGACAGGTCACGTGTGCCACAGCTGAAGGCCTCCCCCATCCGCCTCCACCATCTGCTGAGGCCCCATAATTATTCCAAAGCCTGATGCAGTCTCACTCCAAGGGGAGAGTTCACACAGCCCTGTAATGTAACCCAGGCCCTAGGCGGCTCGGGCAGGGGGTCCCCAGCTGGGTAATGAGCCACTGGCTTTATTGAATTCCCTGACTTGGCTCTGTCTAATCACTGCCTTTAGCCAAGGCAGCCTGGCCTTCTAAGAACCCACCTAAGCACCCTTGCTGAGGACTTCTTTCTCCCCAGCACCCCAATTCCTGCTGCTCAAATCTTCCCTCCCCCACCCAGATATGTTTAAATGACAAGGGTCAGGTCAGGGAGGCACCCAGGGTTTGGCCTCCCCCTCCATCTTGGAGAAGGCGTGGTTGCCTCAGGTCTGGGGCCCAAGCAGGATAGAACAGAGCGGGCTGCTGGTTTGCCTTTGCTAGGCTGCCGCCGTGGAAGCAGGACTTACAGCTCCCACCATGCAGGGTGGGCGTACCTCCCCTTCCTGAGGTCTGGGCCCCAAGGAGGGAAGGCCTTGGCCAAGGAGGCTGTGCTATGGGCCAGGCCTTTCCAAGGAGAGGTTAGGAACCAGCCTCCTGCTCAGGCTTCAAGACCCAGCCCACGTCACATGTGCACAGCAGAGCCCAGGCATCTCCCTTCCCCTGCCCCCAGCACGTGTAAGGACCCTCAAGACAGCGAGTGCAGTTCGTACGCTTCCGCACGTCTGTTTTCTGACCAAGATGGTGCCCTCTCTGTGGACAAGGACTGCTGTCCATCTCTATGTATCCAGAAACTAGCTCTTAGCAGGAGCTTTAAAAATCGTCAAGTAGGGAGAGAGAGAGGAGACGCTTCAAGAGGTAAGAGGTTTAGTCTGTGCATGAGGGACGTGGCATCTGAGATGCTGGTTTGGTGTCCCCACCACGTGGATGGCCAGTCTCTGAAGGAGAGAGACCCGGCCCATTTGGGAAACCGTGTCAGTCCTGTTGATCTGTCAAGGGTCTAGTGGCTGGGGAGAAGTTCTGCTAAGGGTGAACCTGAGGTCAAGGGCCACCCAGAGTTCATTGTCGGGGTGGCTTCCTGCCAGCTGCACCTAGGGTAGGCTCTGAGCCCATCCTGGAGGGTGTGAAGGGCCGGTCCACGGTCCCTCCACCTTCCGACAGTGGCGGGGCTTCTCTGAGACTAAGTCGGGGCCCAGCCTGCTGTCCTGGGGGAGGGTGAAAGGCAGGAGACCCCCCCAGGGTCGGCCGACCCAGCCCATCTCTGTGGGCCGATGGTGGGAATGGGCAGTTGAGCCCTTCTTTGTCTCTGGGAAGTTGGTGAGCGTGGGGTCCACTCCACCCTCCAGAGAGGAGTGGGAGGGGGGGCAGAGTCAGAGAAGCCAGATCCAGGGATGATTGGGAGGAGGGGCCCAAGAAGGAGGAGACTTCAAAGCGCTCCCAGAACAGCTTATAAACCAGCTGGGCTGGTGGGGCAGCCAGCGGGGGCCTTTCTGGGGAGGCTGGAAGCTTGCATGGGTTGTGCAAAGAGCACTGGACGGGGGTCCGGGAGGGGAGGGCGTGGGCCTCAGAACCCCTGGCGGGCCCTGCCTGGCCTCTCTGTGACTCGGTTTCCTCTCTTGAGTGGCTGAGCTCACAGCAACACCCAGGCTCCCTCCAGGCTGGCCTGAGGGTCAGCCTGACAGTGTGGGCGAAAGTGCTGTGTGGGCGCCAGCCCTGATCAGATGTTATTTATTATTCTGAGCTGTGTTTTGGTGGGAGACTTGGACTGGCTGAGAAGGAGAGCCGAGTGTTCTAGGGCCCTTTCTCCCCAGTGCTGTTTTGAGAGTTCTCAGTGCAGAGTGGCCAGGAGCAGGGGCCCTCGGAGGGAAAGGCCCACGGCTTTTGACGGAGCTGGGAGGAGGTGCAGATACAGTGGACAAGCTCCCCCTGCTTTTCTCACCACCCCTTTTCCCTCCCCACTCAGCGCCCCTGCCCCTCCCCCTCTTCGTGGTCTCAAGTGACTCCCCAGAAATCAACCTCCTCTCCCTGGATACTTGTCCTCATGTAATGGGGCTGTGACATTCCCCCTAAGTCCCACTCAGAAATGTGTCACTGTCCATTTCCCTTTGTGATATCAAAGGAGGCTGCACAAACCACGTTCATCAAGCCCTGTACTGGGGCCTGGCTCTGAGCAGCTGGAACATGGGTTTATGAAATTACAGGGAATTCAAAGCAGCCGGCGTCGCCCGCTGTCTGGCTTCATTACAGGGACCAGCCTCCGGAGGGAAGTTTATTCCAATAATTTAAAGGATTAGGATCTGACATCCTTCATTAGCTCTTTGACATAAGCAGAAAAGACAAATCTTGCAGAATGACCCACACGACAAGAAGGAATTGGCTCGGGCGGGGAGGAGGCAACACACCGCTGGCGAGGAAGAGGACAAGTCTGCAGGGGGAGAAAGGGGCTGGCTTTTCACCATCGAACTAGAGGGTCATGTCGGCCCTGAAGGGGAGAATGGGGTTGGGCTCAGCACTTAGTTTCCCCCTCTGTGCAGTGAGAGCACTGTGGGGGACACCCCTGGCCCCACCCCATCTACTACCCTTGGGACACAGCGACTCAGTTACCGCTCCCCAAATCCTTTGTGGCTTGGCCTTGAAAAGTTACCTCTTTCTTCTGGGGCTCTGTCTCCCCCCACCTCTCACCCCCTGGAGACTGAGTGACCGACACAAAACCCCAGCTTGCTCACTTTTCCGTGGCATTTTGGATATGAGCCATTTCCTGCCAAGCAAGAGAGAAATTGCCCCCACCCCTTGGCAGCTTCTGGCTCTTTTCCTGGCCCCTCCACAAGTACTGCCTCTGATGTTTCACAAACTTCTTGTCCAGCCTGTAAAGACCAGAGCTGGGCCGCACCTCGACAGCAGTTCTGACAGCTGGGTTTCCAAAGGCCCCCGCAGGCTGGTGTCCCAGATTTAGCGGTGGGGTCATGTAGCTGTGTGACACAGGGTGAGTTGCTTAGCCTCTCTGTGTGTCTTTTCCTCAAATCCAAAATGAAGGCCCAGTTTGTTGTGGGGATTAAATGAGATGATGCACACAGCCTGGCACATGTGACGAGCCCAGTAAATATCAGCAACAAGTGGCCCTGCCCCTGCTCACCGTGGGTGACCTTCTCCTGCGTAGGCGGGGGATGAGAGATGTCTGGAAGGTGCCTGGCTCTCCCTCAATGCAGCCTTCATGGTCGTTAGCGAGGGCGGCTCGGCTGCCCAGCACCGTCCTGAAACACTGACCACGTAGGTCCTCTTGGAGCCGGGAGTGTCAGTCGAGGAGCAGGAATGTGATCCGTCCCGGAGCCGGGGGAGCCGGAGCATATCTGGTATGTGTCTCTGGAATGATTTGGGGAAAATTCACCGAAGTTGGAACTTGAGACGCAAAATTGCCCGGGACATAGAGATAGGAGCTGTCCGTACGCCCCCCACCCAGGGACCTGGTGCTGGGGTGGGAGTTGGCTGACACAGCACAGGCTGCTCAGGCCCGCCCTGGAATGGCCGTGAACTTGTTGTTTTTCCACGTCATTTGCTCTCAGATGTACTATCAGGCCGGGCGATGCTAACCCTGCGGCTGCAGGTCCCTCCTCGTAACAAGCGAGTATGTGTTCTTTGGAGGTGGCAAGGGGAGGAGGGGGCCCCGGCAGAGAGGTGGGGGGAAGGGAAACACGCCTCTCCGTACAGTGAGCTTGCGTGTCCTGGAGCCAGCTCCCCCCAAAGCACATGCCATTTCTGGCCCTTGAAGGGGTTAAAGGCCTCCTGGAGTCAAAAACAAGCAGGTGTCCCACCGTGCCAGATACGCCGCCTAAACTGCTTCCAGCTTTTTTTTTCCTCTTCTGCAACAAGTCTGTGATCAGCCACAGGACAGAGGAGCCAGCAGCCTGCCTGTGACAGGCATCAGGTTAGCTCGCTCCCACTCGGGTGGCGCGCCCAGGACATAAATCCAGGCTCGGGCCCCTGTGCGGCTTCTCTCCCTGCACACTCCGGAGAGGGAGTTCCCGTATCAGAGGCCGCGCAGCCCAGCGGGCTCCACTGACTCGGTGGAGGCAGCCTCGGCAGCGGCAGCCCCAGCGCAGTGAGCAGGCCTGCCGGGTGGGAAGGGCAGGTGTCAGCAGCCCCCGAGGAGCAGCAGGCCCTGGGGTCCCTGGCCCTGGCGTCGTCTCAGGGGAGGTCTCTGGCTGCCTCAGACCGCACCATGTGGGCCCCAGGGT